ATCTCTTAAAAAAGAAACAAAACTCATTACTTTATGTTTTATATTTTAATATAATTATATATACTTATGTATGTATATACTACATTACCATACTTTATAATTCTGCTTAATTGAATAGATGCATATAAACAGAGTGCATGTGTGTTATGCTGCACTGTGGTCCTGTGGAAACCTTTCCCCTGCTTGGTTCTTTCAGTTATGTCTTTATCCAGGATTTGAAGGAGCCAAAATGTTTAGTGTGGCTAATTAAAGTACCTAGTATGTATCCACTTAATATCTGAGCTGTGCAATCTCTTAACAGAGATAAATCCCTTCACTTTTAAAGTAATAAATTTTCACTATTATAAAAGCAATGTATATTTACTCTAGAAAATTTAGAAAAAAAATAGATAAGCAAAAGGAAGAAAGTAGAAAACACCATGATCCCACCACCCTAAAATAATCACAATTAACACTGATGAATATCCTTTCTATTAATACTTTCAGGATAAAGGTGATGACTGTATTCAATTTTATTTTTTACAGAAAAGTGATCACGCTATATATACAATTATGTAGGCTGCTTTTTTTTAGTTCATAAAACATAATGCAATTTCTCAGGTCATAAAATAGCTGTAGCCATTATGACCATTTATTTAAAACATGATGTCTATTTTTTCCTACTAACTGATTTTTAAGTGGTTTTTCCTTTCTTAAAATAGCCTCAACTAAAAAAAAGATAATGACAGCCTCACCTAACTATTTGTCTGGATTAGTTGAGGTGTAGAACTATAAAGAGAACTATATTATTCTCTTTACACCTCAGCATATTTTTATTGGCAATTTCCATTTTTTAATAAATAGCTTGCTTTCTCAGTTACCCTTTTTGATGATGTCTTTCCTTTTAATTGATTGAAACTGCATACAAGAAACATATACACACAGGGAAAAGATGCTTTCTAAAGTAGAATAAAATCAACAGACGTTAAAAGACAAATTAACAATGACACCTTAAAAACTGATTGTAGAGTAGATACTTTTGCCACTTTTGGCTCCAAATAAAAATAACAGCAGAAGATGTTTAATGGAAATTAAATTTTGACCCCTGAAAACATTTATAGAGCATTGTTTAGAAAATTAATCTTCTTATTTTAATGTCATAAAGTTTTTAAAATGTAATTTAAATTTTCAGGAGGAAATGAGAAAAGACACAATTGATCTTCTGGAAATTGAAAGCATGGAGCTCAGCAGACTGTACTACCTATTGCAAACTCTTCCCACTACCATTAGCAGTGAATTTGAAGGTATCTTTGAGGTTATCAACTACAGAAATTTAGTTTATCTTATAAGAAAATAGAACCAAGTACTTTTAACAAGATGAGTTGAATAGTTATTGCTTGTATAAATATAACTAGAAAGATTACACAACACACACACATTGAGAGCCATAATAATTTTCTCTTGCATTTTAAGTGGAAATAATATATATAAAACTTAGACTTATATAATTTAGCTTCTAAATATACTAAAGATATATATGAATCAGCCTATTCCCAACTGAAATTTATCCAATTAAATTAGGTAGTTTGGTGGTCTAAACTACCATTCCACTTTCTGTCTCTATGAATTTGACTATTCCAAGTACCTCATATAAGTCTTATTATACAGTATTACTCCTTTTGTGACTGGCTTATTTCCCTTAGCATGTCTTCAAGTTTCATTCATATTATAGCATGTGTCAGAATTTCCTTCCCAAGGCTGAATAATATTTCATTGTATGTATGTACCACATTTTGTTTATCCATTCATCTGTTGATGGACCCTTGGGCTGTTCCCATATTATAGCTGTTGTGAATGATGCTGTTATAAATATGGGTGTCCAAATACAGGTTGAGTATCCCTTATCCGAAATGCCTGGGACCGGAAGTGCTTCAGATTTCTGAATTTTTTCAGATTTTGGAATATTTGCATAATGCTTACCAGTTGAGAATCCCTAATCCGAAAATCTGAAATCCAAAATGCTCCAGTGAGCATTTCCTTTGAGCTTAATGTAGATGCTCAAAAAGTTTCAGATTTTGGAGCATTTCAGATTTTGGATTTTTGGATCAGGGATACTTCACCTGTAACCATTCAAGTCCCTGGCTTCAGTTTTTTTACATATATTGCTGGATTGTGTGGTAATTCTACGTATGATTTTTTTTTTTTTGAAAATTTGCTATACTATTTTCCAGGGGCTGCACCATTTTACATTGCCACCAGCAATGCACAAGGGCTCCAATTTCTCCACATCCTTACCAATACTTGTTATTTTGGGGTTGTTTTTTGTTTTTTTCTGAGAACCATCCTAATAGGTGTGAAGTGGTATCTCATTATGTTTTGATTTGCATTTCCCCAATGATTAGTGATGTTGAGCATCTTCCGTGTGTTTGTTGTTCACTGGTATATCTTCTTTGGAGAAATGTCTCTTCAGGTTCTTTGCCCATCTTTTAATCAGTTGTTTTATTGTTATTGTTGAGTTGTAGGAGTTATTTATGTACTCTGACTATTAGCCACTTATTAGATATGTGATTTGCAAATATTTTCTCCCATTCCATGGGTTGCCTTTTCACTCTGTTGATCGTGACCTTTGATGCACAAAAGTTTTTAATTTTGATGTAGTTTAATTTATCTTTTTCTTCTGTTCACTGTGCTTTTGGTATCATATCCAAGATATCATTGCCAAATCAATGTCTTGAAGCTTTCCCCTGCATTTTCTTCTAAGAATTTTGTAGATTTAACTCTTACATTTAGGTCTTTGACCCATTTTGAGTTAAATTTTGTATTTGATGTAAGGTAAGGGTCCAACTTCATTCCACAGCTGCCAGGAGATGTTGGCTGATACTCACAGCTGAGTTCCTCTCCGCGAATTGCCCTCAACAAAAAAGAGAGTCTTCACCTCAGGTTATGTTCCTTCCCCAGGTGCCTGCCACCCACATTCAGTGACTGGTCACTGAGAGGGTACAGAGGCCTGGCTCCCTTGCTTCGGTGTAGAACAACTCCAGAGTGTCATTAGAGCTCCAAAACTCATCACACTTTAACCTCCTCCTCTCCCCAGCCCTGGTTCCTTTATTTCTTCAGAGGAGATGCTCCCCGAGAACACTACACGGTAAATTTTCTGCACATAAATTTTAGAATCTGTTTCCCAGGGAGCCCAACCTGAAACAGTGATCTTAATAAGTATAAAAACCTTCTTTTCTATAGTAGATTTTCCAGTTATCCATTTATTGCCTCTCAGCTCTAAATGTACACATCATTGCCTGCTGTATGATAAGGAAGTTGGGACCTGCAAATCTTCACCTTTACTAACCAGCGTGATGTTAAGCTTTGTCAGTAGAGGGTTTTGGAGGGATATCGGAGGAGAAAGGGGCTCCCTTCCTAGGTCCAGTGTGCTCAGCTTGGCAGACTCTCGCAGTGCCCGTGGCATGCTGGGATCACCACGCCAGGCCCCTGCAGTGTCCGGTGGTCCACAGTGCCCAGCAGTTTCCCCCAGTACCCCTTGGGGAGCCTCACGGTGGAGTGCCACCAGTGAGGCACCTCTCCATGAAGAGCTTCCTTGGGACCCCCTTGGGTAGTTTTGAGTGAGTTCTGAAGGATGGCGCCTCCTTGCGGACAGCTTCCCCCAACACCCCAGAGAGCTGATTTCCAGCAAGTTCTACCACCTCAGCATTTCATGAACTTCTTTGCCATCCAGTGAGCCACAGCCCTCTCCGATGAAGTGTAGTCTCACTCTCAGCCCTAAGGATGGTGGCTGCTTGTACGCCAGTTATTCCTGAGGTCTTTGGAGTTCTCTCTACTTCTTACTATCCATTCCCTAATCCTCTAATCACCCTAATCCTTTGTTGTAGTTAAAAACTCTTTATATTAAGCTTTGCCTGTTCAATTCACTGTGAGATCTCTATCTCCTAATTGGACCCTGGCTGATACAGTAGGTTATAAAACAATATGCTTTTTTAGTCTGGTCCGATAGGGAAAATACAACAAACTATATGTGCAGAGAAAGAATATAAGACTTAGAGGAATCTACACCAAAGATGGAATTAAAAGTGTTTTAGTTTTTATTTTCTTTGGTTGTTTTTCTTTATTTTCCAGATTGGGTTATTTTTGCAATCAGGAAAAATATTTTAGAAGGAAAAAAAAATCATACTAGCTTATAAGGTCCTAGCCACATGCTGAATACTTAACCAAGTAAATTTAATTGTCCTTATGTCATAAAGCCTTGCTACTCAAAGTATGGTCTTTGGACCAGCAGCATAAGCAGCACCTGACAGCTTGGGAGAAAATGCAGCATCTCTAGGCCCAACCCAGGCCTGCTGTATCAGAATCTGCATTTTAACAAGATCCAGCTGATGTAGCTGCATATTTGAGACACAAAGTTTGAGAAGTCCTGCTACGATGAGCAATTATTTTATTAATAGTATTTTAAGGAGAAAAAAAATACAGCTTGGCTCTCAGGGGAGCTACCAGCTAGTTTCTAGGACATTTTTTGTGTAGAAATGAGTTGTAGTCCAGCACATTTCTAAGCAGCAATGTTCGAAAATTCTTGCTTATTGACCATCAATTTGCCGTGCACTGAGGTCATCCTCTGAAGTCTTATGTGATTACATTGATGTATTATTTATTGATGAATAATTAGCTCTTTAACACATTGGCTTCCCCGGAAAGCAGAGACTGAGGCGATGGCTTTTGCATTATTGTTTTAAAAAGTATAGTCCAAAGAGGAGGGTGGGATAAGGAGATCAAAGCAGGGAAGAAGGAAGAGCCAATACGGGGTGCATTATGATGTTGGTTGCTGCTAGCTGACACTAATTAATTATGAGAACATGCCCCCAAGACATGGTGTTACCTCTTCTCACACTACCATCCATCTGTGTGAGAGAGGGGGAAATCCTTACGCAATGGCCCCTGTCAGTCACTGGTGCAATGTTTGCTCTACCTCCGGCACTTCCAGGTTACACATGGATGGGCGTGGGGATCTAAGGAAGCCCCCTGATAGGGGCGACAGGAAGTCCTGGGCAGGAGATGAGAAGTGCCTGGAACAGACAGGAATCAGGGGCTGTCAGACTGCACATGTGCGAATTTGTTGAGAGCCCATAGAAAGCTGGTCACCATAACAGCAGCAGAAATAAGAGAAATGATTAGTAGGAAAGATCTAGAGGGACAAAAGGAGTAAGTAGGAGGTGCCTGATACAGAAACACTTAAAAGAATATTTCAAAGAAAGACCTTTTCTTTTCGTGATTTGAAAAGTCACTATCTACAATTGTGCTCTTAAATAATTTAGTAACATTTCCACTTTTAAGAATGTGTCAGAGATGCTCGCAAATTAAATCTTCTTGAGATAAATGAAAAGCAAATGAGAATTACAAGGATGAATAATGAAACAGAGTTTCTGAAGAAGGAAATAATTGATCTGAAAGAAATTAATGAAGCTCTAGGGTAGGTATTTTTTTTATTCAGTAACTTGAATATGTAAGGGTCTGGCTGGAGTGGAAAAATTATCAGGAGTTTGACCTCTGATCTGAACTGGGGCAGGGCAAGTTGAGAGGTGGAGACGTGTCATAGGAGATGACCCAGGCTGATGTGTGGGTTGGGGGTGTGATGGCTCTAGAGGGAAAGAGGGGAGAAAATCTTGAACCATTGTAGCCAGGAGACCTGTAAAATTTCAGAGGCAACCCAGCTTTCCAGCAGCAACTATTGTTTGCTTGCAAATCACACACTACCTTCAATGCTACCTCCAAAGATAGAGGCGCACAGTGGTTTTAGTTTCCATTTTTGTAGAATTGAGTTCGCAAATCCCCACTACCAAAGCAAGAAATCTTGCTGGAATTGTAACTGTAATATCAAAACGTATCTATTGTATATATGATAGTTGGAGATATTCAGTTATAATCTACTGGAGGGCAGAGGATGGGGTTGGTTCCCAGAAGAGGATTTCAGATTTTATCTGTAATTAAATGAGACAATATATGTAATTGCCTATAACTCAGGATCTTACACCTGTTAGTTTTCTTTTCTTTATTCCTGAGCTATATTGCCTCAGACCAGCACTTTACAATGTGGGCCTCATTTTCTCCATCTGTAAAGTGGGGATCACAACACTTGACTTACCCAGCTCATGAGAGGAAGAGATATATTCTGAAAGAAAAATAAAATACAGCAAAACCATGCCTGTAATCCTAGCACTCTGGGAGGCCGAGAC